CCAGCTTGAGGCGAGCAGGGGATACACGCAGCCTTACCAGGTTCCTGGTGTCCCCTGCGAACCTGAACACGTCGATCCTGAAGCGCAGCATGTCCTCGCGGGGCCGGGGGGTGATGAAGGCAGAGCTGGTGTCGTCCAGCCTCCCATCAACCAGGCACCTGGGGTGGGACGGGAGATGGGGGTCAGCATCCTGCTGGGTTCCCCTGCAACGCTGCTGAAGGCTGGGTCCCTGGGGCTCACCCGTTGAAGTCGATGATGGAGTAGTGGGGTGAGGAGTCAGTGCTGGGGCTCAGGGCAGCCACACAACTGTCCACGAACAGCCGCAGCGGCACGTGGCTCTCGGTGCCCACCTCTGCTTGGATGTTGAGGACATCACCCAGTTGGAAACCCGTGAAGGGTCTCTCAGCGCTCCAGTCCTCTGTAAGGCAAGGGGTGACAGGGGGTGGCTCCGAGCTCCCATGGGACTAGAACCAAGGCTCATCTCAAAAGCAGGAGCACTGGTGTTCACCATGGGGTTGGCTGATTTCCCAGTGGGGTGCTGCATCCCTGAGCTTCCCCACACTGGGAAAATGGTGGAAAACCCCCCTATAGCTTCCCACCTACCGTTCATGAGGCGCAGGGAGAACACCAGCCTCTCCTCCGCCGACAGCGTGGAGCTGAAGGGAGCCCAGGTTGGCCGGATGGCGTTGCTGGTCACATTCTCCCTCCTGGGCAAGGATAACTGTGCATCAGTATACAGCCCCATGCTGGTCCCCGGGGATCCCTGTGGGTACCAAGGGCAGGGATGCCTCACCTGGGGTAGTGGCACTCGATGGGGATTACAGCGGGGTTGCTGCGGATGATGACGGGGTTGCTGGCAGGGCTGGGGTCATAGTTGAGGAGCGTGCGGTAGATGAGGGAATCTGGTGTGATCTGGGCAGAAAAGCATTGGGAAGCTGTCAGAGAGACCACCCCCAGCTGGAAAACGCTTTGGTTTGGGGGAAATACCCACTTATCCTTCCCCTGAGGATGGTCCTCGATGGTGCTCTGCATCCCGCACCCAGAGCATCCACCAGCATCGCTGTACCTGGTCCTGTATCCTGGAGCTGCTCCTGGAGGAGAAGGTCTTACCTGCACAACACTGCCACACTCGTGGAGGCCAGCGGTGAAGATGACGGAGTTCTGGTTCAATGAGGCATGTTTGCACGCTGCTGGCCCCAGCGTCAGGTCAGCCGCATTGATCAGGCGGCCGGTGCCAAAGAGGTCCCTGTTCACCGTCACCACCAGCTGAGCCTCCTGGCACTGCACCACCACCGGCTGGTTGCTGGAGATGGATCGGGAATGGGGGTCTTCCAGCCAGGACCAGGCGTGGGGGTCTGCCTGCACTCCCCGGCTCGCCAGGTCAGCCCAGGAGAAGTCCCAGGGAGTGTAGGCAGCCACCTCACCCGCTGCCCAGCACAGAAGAGCGAGGATCAAGCTGCTTTTGCGTCCCATCCTTCCTTCTTACAACAAACCCTGGCACAGAGAGCCCAGGCTGCTCCTCCAGCCTTATATCCCCGCCAGCAGCATGAGCTGTCCGCCCCTGGGCTCCCGCTTGGGGACCAATGGCACCCAAAGACCAGCCCTCGTGGGTGCAGGGAGAGGGGAGGCATGACCCTGTCATTTCCGGGGTGCCGGGACCCCCCATCCCTGGGCTGCCCAAGGCGAGAGAAAACATCTTCGTCAGCCTCTTTGGCCAGTTGTTTATAAAACTCAGCAGAAGCTGGAGACGGGGAGACTGGTACAAAGGGACTTGTTTAGGTTAGAAGGCGATAAGGGGGGTTTCAAGGCTGCTGGGGAATCGGCAGAGGAGGAGAGCAGGGTCCGTGATCCTGATCCGGGTGTTTCTCATCCCTTACACAGGGACCATTCCTGTCCGGTGCCATCAGCCCCCCCTGGAACTTCAATTTTCCACTTCGATGCTGATGTGCTCACAGCTCCAGCACAAAGTGGGGCTTTACACGTCCCCCTGCATCCTGTGTGGGACTGGGATGCTTGGTCAGCAGCAGCTGATGGAGAGCCCTCACCACTGACATGAACACCAGTGGTCTCAGCCAGGGCTGAACAAGCCCCGTTTCAGCCCTGAGGTCATTGGCTGCAGAGCCAAAACCTCTCATTTTTTCTCTCTGCTGCCCTTTCCCAGCAATTTTTCTTGTGTTTGTTTTGTTGCCCTCAAGGAAATGAACTTGGAGCAGCAGTAGCTGGATGAGAGGCCCTCCTCTCATCGCTCCCTTTCTCATGCCACAGCATCCCAGCCTGTATCCCACCCCCTGCAAGCTCCCCACCGCTGGAGAACAGAGAAAGCCACTTAAAAAGACACCCTCTATGTTTTCAAGCCTCATTATGGGAGTTTCTGGCTCTTCTTTTGAGTGTCTTTGGCATTTTCCCTGCCAGGGAACGCAAGCATCCCATTGGCTCCTTGTGAGGGATGCTCCTTTTCATACCTCAAATCCTTCTCTGCCCTTTGGGATGGCCCTGGCAGGCCTCAGGGACAGTGGAAAGCCTCTGATTTGGATGTTTGAGTTGAGCCATTTCTGGCAAAATGAAAAGAAATGGAAAGCTTTTAGGGCAGACGTGGGCCAGCTTGCTCCTAGCAGGAATCCCACCAGCTTTGGAGTTTGTACCTGGCTCAACATCCCCAAAACCACGCATGTGAAAGAATAAAACCTTCTGCCTTCCCCTTAGAAGCCAATGCTCCAACCCTGCTGTTGTCAATGGTCCAGGCCTTCTCCTTCATGTTTAAAGTACCTTGAGCTTGGCACTGGCATAGGAATACCAGGGATTCCTGAGCCTGTGCGTCACAGAGATAACGGCAGCGGGTGATGCTGTATCAGTACATAAGATGCTGCCCCCTCCCAGCAGGAGAACATCGCTCCTTGGCTGGGTCCTTGGCTGCAAGGACCATGGGAGATGCCTGGTCTCACTCCATTGCATCCCAGAGAGACACAGTTCAGGGGCCAGCTTAGGCTATGGGCCTCTGGGTACCAGGGTTTGATCCCAGCAGGAGAGTAAATCCCTCTGATGGGTCACCTTGTGGCTATAGGTCACATTAACAAAGGTGATTCCCAGCTGGAGAAACACACTCAGACTCAGGGCAGAAGAGGTGTTTCTCTATGAAGAAGGGGATTTCTGCTCCCAGATTAGCAAGGAGCAGCTGTTCTGTTTTCATTCCAAACACAAGATGACATTGGCCGTGGTCCAGCACAGTTGGGAAAGAGCATGAGCTCAGTTTTCTGGTGGAGACAGAGACCAGAGAGTCCCAGGGCACTGGACAAGCACAAACCCCAATGTTTTCCCCCAGTTCTGTAAAAGGAGACCTTAAAAGACATCTCTTTTTTGCTTAAAACTTTGTTATAAGTCAAAACTTTAGGTCAGTGCTGCTGTTGAGCATCACCAGAGCCAGTGCTGCTGCCCAGGAAGGGGCAGGAGCTGCTGGGGTGGGATGGCTGCTCCAGGAAGCCAGAAAGCATTTCCCCATCCCAAATTTCCTTGTCGACCAGATTTGGCTGATATTTGTCTTCTTTCCTGGAGCCAGCTGAGGTAGCTTGGGTGAATGGGATGGTCATTAAGATGCAGAGCAAGAAGGAATCAGTGCTATGAAGATTTAACATGTCAGCAGCCACAGCTCATGGTCTGCAAGGTTCAGGTAGGGTGAAGAAGTGCTTCTTCTCCAGGAGGGTTGTGCAGCCCCGGGCTGGGCACACAGAGGTGGAGGAATCCTCACCTATGGACAGTGCCAGCCTCAGCCAGGCTGATAGATCTGGTGTTGAACTGGAGGCCTTCCAAGATCACTTGCCACCCATGTTCTCATGCTCTGCTCTCCTCCTCTCCCTTGTGCTCTAATAGCTCACAGCTCTCAGGGGATGGTGAAGGCTTCACCCTCAAAGCTCCTATCCCACTGAAAGGCAAGGACTAAAGTCTCCCAACAAGGGATGACAGAAGATGCCATGCCCAATCCCAGCTCCAAATCACTGCAGCTCCCTGATCCAGCCCAGAACTAGTTTTTGAGGGAGGGCTAATTTGCTTTTAGAACTGTGAGCAGCCAAACCAACATCAAGGGAAGGGATGGTGGTTTAGGTGACCCAAAGGCTCAAATCCATCTTGGCACCTTGTACTAAAGAGATCACAGTGCAAAGGACATCTGGCTGAGGGGCTCCAGGGTGCTGGATGACACCTAAAGACACACCAGCTTATACAAGATACAACTTTCCTCTGTGCTCCATTACCAGAAGAGCTGCCCAAGTTCCCCTGGAGCAGGCACAAGTCCCGATTCTATGATTCCTGCCCTTTGCGAACCAGCTCACGAAGC